GGATGAAATGAAGAAGTGTGACTCGTTGGTATGATGTTAGAACACAGATGAACAGCATTATTGTAAAGACTGTTAACTAATGATGTGATATTAGATGGAATAGAGGTGTGTGATCTTTGGTATGATGTTAGAACACAGATGAACAGAATTATGCTGAAGATTGTTGACTAATGATGTGATATTGGATGGAATAGAGGTGTATGATTTTTGGTATGATATCAGAAATACAGATGAACAGAACTATGCTGAAGAATGTTGACTAATGAGATGTGATATTGAATGAAGTAGAGGAGTGTAAATCTTTGGTATGATATCAGAAATACAGATGAACAGAATTGTAATGAAAAATGTTCGTTAATGATGTGATATTGGATGAAATGACGGAATGTGACTCGTTGGTATGATATGAGAAACACAGATAAACAGCATTATTGTAAAAACTGTTGACTAATGATGTGATATTGGATGGAATAGAGGTGTATGACCTTTGGTATGATGTTAGAGCACAGGTGAACAGAATTATGTTGAAGAATGTTGACTAATGTTGTGATATTGCATGAATGGAGTGATGTGAATCTTTGGCATGATGTGAAAAACACCGAGGAACAGAATTATTCTAAAGATTGTTGACTATTGATGTGATATCGGATGGAATGAAGGAGTGTGAGTCGTTGGTATGATGTCAGAAACACAGATGAACACAATTAACATGACGAATGTTGGCAAATGACGTGATATTGAACGAAATGAAAGAGTATGAACCTTTGATATGATGCGAAAACATAGGTGAATTGAATTAGTTCTGTTCAACTGTGTTTTTCACATCATATGAAAGGTGGATAATCCCACACTTCTTTGACGATCATATCACTGACCACCATTCTTGATGAAAATTCGCTTCATGTATGTTTTTATCTAAGAACGAAAAGTTTGTTTCAATTATGTATTGAAAAATCATGGTATAGACGGATACTCACAATGAAAGCTCGGTTTATCTATTTTGCTTTATTTGAATTAGATACTTTGAAATCTTATGATCATCAAATCAGACTAATAATGAATAAGTTTGAGGAGGCTGCCGGCAAATGGCAGGAGCCGCAAATGCTTGATTTTCTAAATATGAAATATTATTGTTCATATAGAAAAGAAACTGAAACATCTTAAGGGTGTAGGTGTAGACGAAGAAGAGTCACCCAGACCCTCATCCTTCTGATAATCCACGAAGGCGAGACATGTATATTTGAAATTAGATGTATATTCATGTTGTATTTGCCAACTGTTTACCGATCTTTCATCCTATAAAACTAGTTCCACGGGAGATCGAAGAACATCTTTACAATTCGAAAATATAGTGAAACTTTCAGTTTGTCATTACTATTTGAAGTGCGAAATCTTTTTATCATGTAAAAATTACCAATTTATTTTATATTTCCCTAGGAACTAGTATAAATCAATGGATTACATAACTTCCATGTGACATCTGTGTCGTTTTGGCTCATGCTTGTGCGATATCTCAGTCAACAACTTATGCTGTTCGGCAAAAATCAAATTATCTAGTTAAGTCTTGTGGATCGGCTCATCAATTATGGCTTACGATATGAAATTTCCAAAAACTTCCGTCTCAATGTCATGTAAACGCGCAACAGACACTTTAGTTGTCGACATATTTCCTCCAATTAAAACAATTACCTGACATTAGCTCAACAATGCGTGCTTGTTTGAGAATATTATCGATGCTTATTTGCAACTGATCGACACCCTGAACACGATATTGAATTTTGATAGGTAGTTTGAGTTCGTTTAATTCTTTCATTAGTTGTTCCAAGTAATTTGTTAAACTTTTCTTAGCATCCAACAGCTGCGTATGATCATTCGTAGATAAAATGTTTTCAAATTTTTTATTATAATCGGAAAATGTTTTCTGTTTAATGTTTAATTGCTTCAGATAACTTTCAGCCGATGTCTTGTTCTCTTCTTCGATAGCACGAATTTGATTTTTCAGCGCTTTTTCGTAATTATCGATCATCTTACGTAGAGCATCAAAGGTATTAGTAATCGACTCTATGTTTGCATTTTCATTCATATCTGTTAAGGACATACTTTGTGTTATAGCTTGATTTAGGAATGCCTGTGCCACTCTGAATTCACTTTTCAACTACACAATTAAAAACTATTTTTATAAAATTGATGATTTCATTATTGAATACTAACTTTTTCAGTTATGTCCACTGTCACTTCGGATATTGGAACAGCTGTATGATCTTTATGTTGTTTGGGTAGTTGACAATCCATACAAATTAATTTTTCACAATTACACCAATACGTAAGTTTTTCGTCACGATGTTGTTCACATCGTTTGATTTCGATCGGTTTCTCACCAATAGGTACTAGTCGATGGTGTGCAAGTCCACGTTTATGAAACGTTGTACCACATGTTGTACAATAACCAATTCCACAGTCAATACACCAGAGCTTAGCTTCAGCTGATTGACATTCATCGCACCGAGGTACAGCTAAAATGTAAATAGTAAAGATGAAAGGATTGACAACAAAAAATTTGATTATCTCATGAAAAAAGGAGTCTACAAATTAGTAAAAAGGGCGAATAATTTACGATGTGAATATATTTGATAGTGAATTCTTGTAAGTTTTGTCAAAGATCTGTGGAACAAAACGCGGATTCGATACGAATCCTTTTGAATTTAGAACGAAACTTGTATAGTTTTACATTTTCGATATCGACTGTTTTTTTTCTATCATATAAACCTTCACAGGATCTCAGAGTAAGACTTTTGCTCATATATTCTTGGGAAGAACTATGCTGTTCCGATGGGGTAACTTCTGGTATTCATAAGATTTTAACACGATCTAAGTGTTTTTAGACTAACAGTTCATTAGATACATATATTTACATGACTGTCTATTTTGACCAGTGGCATTCACCACATGTGGTAATATCTCAACCATGTCACGCACGGCTCGATTGATCGGTAATGAGTCGATAGCATCTCTTTCTATACTGGTTTCATCACGCATAGGACACTTAAATTGACCATGATTTGCTAAGGCAATCTGATGGATGCATCTAAGACAATATGTGTGGGAACAAGGTAATAGGCGTGGATCGACAAAGTAATCGAAACAAATCGCACAAGTGATTAGATTATCAATGTCCGTATGTTGTTGTTTACGTGCTGATTTTGATGCCATGTTGTTTAATGCTATGTAATTTAATTGATGAAAAATAGTTATAGTCTAAAATAGAAACAATATGCGGCATATATACTATTGTGAGAAAGGTGGCTTGAGGGTGTGGAGTGGGTGGATGCGACACTTCTTTAATTTCATGCATCCACATCCCAACCCATACTCTTACCTAAACTGAAATTCAATAACCAAACCTAAACTTATATACCCAAACGGTTAGGGTTTGGTGCATACCTAGGTATAAGGTAGATCAACAGGTAGCTACATCAAGCATGTATCGTTATTAAATAAATGATGGATAGAAGAGTAGGTCAATTGAAGATCAGCTCACTAAAGATGTTCCTGAAAGAGATGATGTGAGGGTGACTGTTAGAAGCTTATTTATTTCGTTTTCTGCACTTCAGGCTCACCCACAACTATTTTTTTACACTGACACTTATTATATGCACAATCGTTTGGCTTCTGACGGAAATAAAAGCAGATTGCTCAGCATTATATTGTTCTCCTATGAGTTATGATGCATTCCAGATAGAAAGTTGGGGGTTTGCATTATTTTTAGCCTAATTCAGATCCAAGCTTGATGTCTCAGAATCTATAACCAAGTAAAAGATCAAGATTTCATTTGTTTCTCAGTTGTTCGGAAGAGAAAAAGTCGATATAAAGCTGTTTTCGTACTAGAGCTCTATTCTACTGTAAAGCGCAATATAAATTTGATCTAAAGTTAAATGCGCATAAAAACTTGGGTGTGAAAGAACTCGCAGTTCTCTAGCCCACAAAGCGCTACAGAATGTGTTAACTTTCGATAGGATTTTGAGTTCGTAGAAAAGTTATCGAGAAGACTATGGGATTCGGAGGAAATTAATGTATCTCTTGTCTTGACGGTGTGGTGTGGATGTGAAAAATGAATAATAAACTACACCCATACCCCAAATTGCTCTGTATGACTTCTTATTCAACAAACTATGGCCTCGATGAAAAATAAGTGTCGTACTACTTCATTTTTTTTAATTAAGTGAAAACTTTAGACTATATTTTTCCCCACTTACGCAAGTTTAGACTATTTCAATTGAAATGTATAATTTCTCTGTCAAAGAACCTATTCCCAATGTATTGGTTTCGCTAAAATATCTCTGAGAAATTTTAAAATAATATTTTTGATAAAAAATATTGCATATTTTCTTTAAAACATGCCTGAGCAGTATCGCAGTGGAGTTCTCATATTCAGTGTTATCTTTTGCTTACCTTATAACAATAGAAAAAGTTGTGCAAATTGAAGATGAATTTTTGTTCCTACGTATTCTGTAGTGATAAGAAGTGTGACGCAGAAAAAAACTAACATCCAGAAGCGTGTGGTAGTTTGAAAAAGATAAAAAAAAAGAAACAAAAAGAAAAACATTTCTAGCAGGCCACTTCTTGAAGTGGATGGCAGCATAAAAAGTGCGCATCAACGCTCAACAAATATTTGTTTGCTTTAAAATAACAGACCAGTGCAAATCAAGAAAAAAGAAAGTGTGGTATTTTTATAAAACAGTGGAAATTATTTTTCGGAGTCATTTAGATTTAAAGAATGTGAAACTCATTGAAATTATTTCTTTCTTGTACTCATAAAAGATGCAAGTCTTGAATGCTCTTTTCAAGTTTTACTCAGTTAACGTCAATATATTAACCAGTTTTCAGTTGATTTTCGCAAGTTAATCACAATCGTAATAAATACAGTCAACTAAAAAAAGAGACGTTAAGAGATAATGATCGTTTCATCTAAGAGAACATAGATATTTTTTTCTATCCTGAAAACGATATTATAATTGAATTACAATTATCTAGCTTGCACAACAACTTGGTTTAATAAAACATATTTTTTTTTTAAAAATCATTGAAAGTAATACCAACGGCATTGTACAATGAGACGATCGTATGAATATAGATAATCATCTTCATTTCTTTTAAAATAATGCGTTATTTTCATATAGATCAGTATTTCTCTTTTAATCTGATGACAACATAGACTACGTAAAAACAACTTTGACGAAAATAATATATCATGAATAAAATATTTTTAGTATATGTACTTTTATTATTTCATAGAATAATAAAAGTATATATCTCGTATGAAATAAATTTTATTGATCTTGAATACTAGATATAAAAGAATAAAACTAGCGGTAATCTAAAGTAAATATCATAATATATACATGTATATATATCATTAGAACAAAATAGACATTCTTTTATCACGATGAAAAGACAAATTCTATCAACTTTACAATTCATTCTTATTATTAGTATTTTTTCAAATACTGAACAACTTGAATTTTGGCTTACAGATCCAGATGCTAAAGTTTTCTTTCAACAACAACCTTCTATTTTACCCAATACGAACTATAATGCTGCTGATAATATAATAACTATTAATGCAAATGAAAAATATCAAACTATTGATGGTTTTGGTTATACATTAACTGGTGGTAGTGCATTACATTTACATAATCTTGATAATACATTACGTGCACAAATTCTACAAGAATTATTTAATACAGATAAGAATAACATAGGTGTTAGTTATCTTCGTATTAGTATTGGTGCATCAGATTTAGATGAAAAAGTTTTTTCTTACAATGATTTATTACCAGGTGAAACTGATGTGAATATGACTCGTTTTGATTTAGGATATGATCGATTATATCTAATTCCAATTTTAAAAGAAATTCTAGCTATTAATCCTAATATAAAATTAATGGGATCACCATGGTCCCCACCGATATGGATGAAATCTAATAAAAATAGTATTGGAGGAACATTATTAGCTGAATATTATGATGCTTATGCACTTTATCTTGTTCGTTATATAGAAGAAATGAAAAAAGAAGGTATCACTATAGATGCTATTACAATTCAAAATGAACCATTACATCCAGGAAATAATCCATCTTTATTAATGATAGCAACTGTTCAAGCTCAATTTATTAAACAAAGTTTAGGACCAATATTTCGAAAACATTCTATAAATACAAAAATAATTGTTTATGATCATAATGCTGATCATCCAGATTATCCAGTAACAATATTCAAAGATCATGATGCGAAACAATATGTTGATGGATCCGCTTTTCATTTATATGCTGGATCTATTGATGCTTTATCGACTGTACATGAACAATTTCCAGATAAAAATTTATATTTTACTGAACAATGGGTAGGTGCACCAGGTAATTTAAAAGGTGATTTAGTTTGGCATGTTAAAAATCTTATTGTTGGTGCAACTCGAAATTGGGCACGAACAGTTTTAGAATGGAATGTAGCAGCTAATTCAAAATTAGAACCACATACACCTGGTGGATGTACACAATGTTTAGGTGCTTTAACAATTGATGGTAATCAAATTTTATCACCACGAAATCCTGCTTATTATATTATTGCACATGCTGCTAAATTTGTTCGTCCTAATTCAATTAGAATTGGATCAAATATAGTATCAGGACTTCCGAATGTTGCATTTCAACGAGACAATGATATGAAAAAAGTTTTAATTGTTGTCAACGAAAACAATTCTGGTAAACAAACATTCCAAATACAATGCGATGATAAAATATACAATACCTCATTGAATGGAGGCAGTGTTGGCACTTATATTTGCTGAGAAAACATGTGACATTTTTAATAAATATGAATATCTAAACTGAAACTTCAACAAAAAAAAAATCTTATATTACTCACTTTGTATTATTCATGTACTTTCGAAATTTTTTTACTCACATGATGTGTGCGATAAAAAACAAAAAAAACTGCGCCTGTCTTTTTTTCTCGCTGTAATTATGCAAGACTAGAAATTACTTCATTCTTGTGTAAGTTTTTATCGAAGAGTATATAAAGAGAGAACCTGTTTGAAATTATTTACTGGTGAATTTGAAATTTATTGTATAGAAAATGACGTCGCTTGATTTCAATTTTGCCGAACCTATCGCCTCGTACAACGATTCAATTGATCCTAGTATGGATACGAGTCCACAAGATGTTGGCTCAATTAAAAAGTCAGATTTTGTCGTGCTCAACGGGCGTCCGTTAAAGGTGGTTGAAGTAACACATTCTCAACCGGGAAAACATGGTCATACAAAGGTTCATATGGTTGGTATCGATATATTTACAGATCGTCGATATGAAGATGTTCGTCCAACTGGACATATGATTCAAGTACCAAAAGTTACTCGAAAGGATTATATTGTTATACAGATCGCTGCTGATGGCTATGTTACATTACTTGATGACGATACGTGTGCAACACGTAGTGACATCAGATTAAAACAAGGTTCGGACGTTGCTCGTCGAATGCTCGACAAGTACAATGAAGGCAATGATCAGATTAAGGTTACTGTTCTCAAAGCACTTGGCGAAGAGCAAATTATGGCATTCAAAATGGTAGCTTAGTTCACATGAATGCTTTATCTAATTTTTTTTGTGTTCATAAAACACATATTTTTTTGTCAAAAACAAACAGAAGAAGAATTTAATAAAATTAAAATCATCTAAAAAAATAGAATTTATTAATATCGAAAATTTAATATTAAGGATGAAGACTGCTGCGATTTGCAACAATATTCATTGTTTTTATTACTTTTTTCTCGTTATTTATAACAGTATCAACAAAAACAGTATTAGAACTGTTCGTACGATTTAACAAATTTGAACAATAACAAATCTCTCGAAGTTCAGGTCTTTTATAGGCAATACAAGCTGATGTTTGTCCATATTTATTCATTCGACTTAAACGTTGTTTTCGTATAATAAATATATCATTCAATTGATTATATTCAGCAGTTAATTCAAATAGAGCACGACCAGGAATAGTTTCAAATTGTATTTGATAATATTCTGTTTGATTTGATATAAATTTTTTCGTATTATTTATTAATGTATTATTATTAAAACGTGGTACACGTCCATCATTATCACTTGAATCAACAAATTTTAATAGACGTTCATTCGCTTCTAATTGACTTGCTTTATTAATGCGATATAATTCTAATTTTGCACATCGATCTTTATAATCTGATACAAAATTATTAAGAAATTCTATAGCTTGATTTGCAAATTTTTGAATAAATGCTTCATTTATTGATATATTATTCCAATTTAAACATGCACACCAATGTTGTTCAATATCAGCTTGTGAACATGTACGATTTTCAGGTATTAATTGAAAAAGACTATAGGAACGATTCGTTTTCGATTGATAGGGATCAGATGAATGAAATTCAAATAAATGTTCAAATGTTTCATGTAAATCAAATGGTGTTGTTAAACGATGTGAATTTAAACGTAAATTATACATTAAATGAGGATATTTATCTTGAAATTTTGTTGGCATACGAATTGATATAAATGGTAAACGTTCTTCTAATTTACCTTGATATGTTTTTCTTAATGTTGAAAAACGAGCACCATGATCAGTCATTAAAATAAATATTGTATTATCAAAATGACCACGTTTATTCATCATTTTTAAAAATTCAAGTAATTCATTATCACCATAGGGTAAATGATTATTTGAATCATGTGAATATTGAGCATGAAAAGTAAATGAAAATTTCGGTTGATTTGGATACATATCATATAAATCACGCACCCAATTTAGCATTGATTTTAAACGTGTTAAAGAACCAAAACAATATGGTTTCGATGTACGCATAGATTCAGCAACAAGATAAAATGGACGACCATAATGATCAACAGGTTGTTCTTGAAAACCTTTTAAACGCATTTGAAATGTACCTATTGCTTGTAAATCTTCAGCCCATTGTGTAATATAACCATTATCTAAAAATTTCGATGTTTTTGTATTCAAAAACGATTTATTCATGTATATATTAACCTTTAAATTTCTTCCAAATCCAAGGAAATCCATCAACTGTTTGTGCACCATCACGACCACGTCGAGCTTCAGGTAATTCTTGTTCTGTTTGTCCAGTTAAAATTGGTAATAATGCGGCTGGTGTACCATCACCGACAATATTATAACCTACATATAATTATCATATTCAATAATTTATATATTAATTCTATATATCATACCTTTTAATACGATTCCACCTAATTCTTTAATTAAATATGAATAACTTTTTGGTAAAAAACGCATAAATGTTAAACGAGATACAGAATCAAAACCAAACATTAAAATATTATAACCCAAATGAGTTTTAACCATTGGATTCCAAATATGTCTTAAGAAAAAAAAATAATGTTTTTAATTATTTTGATAAATAGAATAATAAATTACCTCATATGTAAACCAGCATCAAACATAATACCTGAATGTATATTTGAATAGAAACTTCCATCACGTGCTCGACAATCAGCACGAAAAAAATCGGATACAAGTGGCATTTTATCAACGACAGGAAATAAGCGAGCACCTTCCATTGTTGAAAAATCATCTTTCGATCGAAGAATAGGACGATATGCACAAACAATTGGTCCATGTTTTTGTAGAGCTTGTTGAGATAATCGAAACGTACCTACATCAAAAAAATATCAATGAAATAATTCTTCTCATTATTTATTCAACAAACCATTATCTACATAAACCCAATTGGTTGATTTTTCACAATCTGGTTCCGATGGTGTAATTGGATCTAAATATTGCCATATTTCAGGATTATTAATCGCTAATTTTGGATATCGACAAGCAAGATTTGTTATATTAAAATAATCTTTATGTAATAGATGTATATTTTGAATTGGTTTTATTTGTGCATCATCAAGATCAGTTTTATCAACAATAAATATTTTATATCTTTCATTATGTTGTTCAGAAAAAATATTTAAATAAAAATTATATGAAAGTATACCAGTTGAACATGTAGCAGATAATATCAGTAAATAAATAGTAAAACGACCGAGATAATAACGTCGACATCGACGACGTATTTGAATAGTCATTATATTTGTCTATTATTTCAATAACTAAAATATTTAGTTTTTTTCTTTCTTACGACGATATTTCCAATAATATTTAATTACAATGTTCATTAGCTTTGATTACAAATAGTTTTGTTGAGTTCACAGAAGAACTAGAAGAAAAGATATATGTTCTAAGAAAGAAAAGATTTGGATCCTTGAAGGAAAAAGGAAGAGAAACAAAAAAAGAATTATCAAATTTTCTCTAAGGAGACATTAGTTATTTCCATTCATTGCATTCACATAAATAATATCAGAGATTTTCTATCTTCGAAAAAATATATTAAATGGTTGTCCATTACTGTGAGCATGTGTATACATAATAAATAAGAGATTAATTAAAACAAAATTCTGCACTGTAGTTTGACATGCTCTTCTAAACAAACAAATTTGAAAATCATATTATTTCTAAAAGATATGAAGACGAACTATATCTCATTTTCGAAATTTTTGATGAAAATTGACTTTTTGTTAAGAAGTGGCGAGTAGAGGAAGTTCACAGATCCATGAATATTTATAATTATATTTATGGAAAGATAAGTATTTCGTTTTCTATGCGTCTGTCAATATGTCGGATACTATCAAAGAGATCTTATTTTCATCAGTAAAATGACAACTTTCTTGAGTTTAGCATTAAGCTGATGAATGGATCCCCTCGAGTGTATTAATACAGATTTCCTATTTTAGATTTGTTTAATTAATATATTGTAAGGTTTCCTTACAAGGCATAAAAGAAAGAAAACGATAGTTTCTTTTTGATGTTCTAATAATATACAAACAAGTATACATCAACTTACCCAAAACATGTAATAATTGTATGTCTATTTCGTCCTGTTTTTTCTTGTTTTATTGCAGTAGTTGTTGTTGGTAATATTAGTATTAGTTTATAGATAATAGAGTTCACCAAAAGAAAAAAGAAATACCAACGTTATGGTGGTAGTGTTCGGATAAACAAGAAATACTGTGGAACGATTACAACCGTCATCGACGCATCTATCACAGAGACAAACGACGACGAAGTAATACAAACAGATGAGATAGTCTCTCTTTAGCATCAACCAACATACGCATCTTTCGTAGCACTATGGCTCTATTGATGCATGTGTGTTGTGTGTATGTGCCTCTCTTAGTCGCGTAACGGTCGTACCAATTACGTCGGTTTTTCTATTCTGTTCTGTTTTATTTTCTCCTGCTTCTTATCCGATAGATGTTGTAGTCATCTCTGTCGGTCGTCCTCTTATTTCTCTTTCTTTTTTCTTTTCTTTCTTTGGATTTTCTATTCGGGAAAGTCCCATGTTGACATTGCCCATATAAAATAGACCTAGTCCCGCTATCATCCTTGTCTATATCCATTCATTGTTTTTACATGATACTTCATTATCATGATTTGTATATGTGTCAAACAGTGTAAGAAATAATAAACTAAGAAAAGAAGCATGCTTGAGATAGGAATATTTTCAATTTTGCGTGCTTTAAGAGAAATAGATATATATATATTTATTAATGGGTTTTGTAGTTATATGCATGTGAGTGACGCTTGAAGTTCAATGACAAAGGATGAACAGAAAATGATGTATGAAGGCAACACGAAGGACGTGTGATTGCAAGTATAGAAGATTATTCATTCCATTCCATTAGCCTTCGGTTGTGAAATGGTTGAATAAAAATTATAGTCGCTTGATTTGGCTGTCTATGCATGAGCGTCAACAGACTTCCGGATGGCTTATCGACATTCACAATACATTTGAAAAAGAACAGAGAAATCTTAAATAAAGAACAGAAAAAGGAAACATGAACTGTTTTTTCTTTTTTCCATTATTATTCATCAATGTAGAAAAAAAACATTTCCGAGAGTTTCTTATTCTTTTCCTTTTCCACTTTATTTCAAAGGAACATGAACACTTGACTAATTCATGTTTTTTTTAATGAATAGCTAATATAGTACAATCTTCAGTTAAATAAATTAATTGAGACAATAAGAATTTCAATTGGTCGATAGAATATCCCTATTTCTATTTTATGTAGACATCAACAATAAATAAATAACGTTCGTTAATAATAAGATT